ATTTACGAAATTTCGTAAATGTGAAAAAAATTACAAAACAATAATGAATCGATTTCTGAAACAATAACGAATCGATTCGTTAATGGCGGACGCGACCGCGCAATATGCTAAAAAACCTCCAAATGGGACAGGGGGAACTTCTGAAGCTTAATTAAACCAAAAACAAATATAAAAACCCTTAGAAAACCAAAAACAACTATAAAACTTGCCCCAGACATGCGGAAATAATAACGAAACGACCTCAAAACAATAACGAAACGAATACAATAACGAAATACAAAACATTTACGAAACGATTTAAAAATTCGTTTTTTGAAAAAAATTGCTCCAGACTGGTTCGTTATCGTTTTGCAATTGAAAAATTAACGAATTTTTTAACGAATTATGAATTAACGAAACGAAACCGCCCAGCCCTAATAAATACACATTTTTGTATATACATTTCATCATTTCTTTTGAAAACATTTTCCCTAACATATTTCTTTTTTGCACGCATGTTGCCATGGGCTATTGAGTTTAGTGCACAATCTTAAATGTCTGACACATCTCCAAAGGTAGCATATCAATTGCTATCTGCATACAATTTAATCAAATGTAAGTTCAGGAAGTGTAACCCTGTCCATTTTACATTCAAATAAAAATGTACTGAATTTTTCACCCACACCTTTAGTAATTAGTAATTACATTAAATGACCAAACTTTTCAAGTAGTCACTTCAAACTATGACAATTTCAAACTATGACAACCAAACTTCAAACAAAGTTCAGCAGCACAGCGGTTTAACCTGCTATACTACTAGGGGGCCCCAAGGACCTATATAGTGTATGTCAAATAGAGGTTACACTAAAGATGCCAGCTATGACAATTTACCAAACTGAGAACAACAACAAGAACAACATATAGCTAATATACATCCCTTGGATAATGTTGCCTTCCTGCCTTAATGGGAGTGTGTGGTACAACTCTACCATCTATTGCAGAAGTGTTGCTCACAAAGCCTTCCAAATATTATTGGACTGCAATTCCCAGTGGCCAGTTTCCATAGCCAAAGTTGATTAAAACTGGGAGTTGGAATTTCACAGCATCTGTAAGTCCACATGATGTCCACTCTTGCCTATTCCTACATTCTTGTTCTGCATGTGTTCAGATTATAATTACATAAATGAAATTCCAGAAGTGTAACCATTTTTGGAATGTTGTGTGGTTACTAGGCTGTATGGCTGTGTTCTAGCAGTATTTTCTCCTGATATTTCACCTGCATCTGTGGCTGGCATCTTCAGAGAGAGATCTCTTCCTCTAGATTTTCTCAGTCTTGCTGTTTTGCTCTGTTTCCCTTCCCTTCTCCATTCCTCCATTCCCTACCTCTACTTTGTATAGTAGAGGTAGTTTTCCACTGAAATTAAGTCTAGTTGTGTCTGAGTCTGCGGGGCGAGGGGTGGTGGTGCTCATCTAAATTTCTATGCTGAAGAGCCGGCATTGTCCATAGACACCTCCAAGGTCATGTGGCAGCATTACTGCATGGTGCGCCCTTACCTTCCCGCAGAAGAGGTACCTATTGATCTAATCACATTTGAATGTTTTTGAACTGCTAGGTTGGCAAAAGTTGGTGCTAACACCAGGAGCTCACCTTGTTCCCTGGATTCAAACAGCCAACCTTTCAGTCAGCAAGTTCAGCAGCACAGCGGTTTAACCTGCTATACTACCAGGGGGCCCCAAGGACCTATATAGTGTATGTCAAATAGAGGTTACAATAAAAGATGCCAGCTACAGATGCAGGCAAAACATTAGGAGAAAATGCTGCTAGAACATGGCCATACAGCTTGGAAACTGTACAACACTCCAGTGATTCAGGCCCTGAAAGCCTTCAACGATACATGTAATCACTTTACATGAGCCTGAAAATACCAATCTCAACTAGAGTATAACCATCAAATTGAGTGGATTTACCTATAGGTTGGTTTAGTTGGGACTAACCAACAGGCTTCTAGTCACATAGTTGTACATTCCTGCAGTAGCGTCATTTGGATTGACATCACCTAGTGTGGTAACTCATGGTGTCACTGTATGGATCCTGTTTCCTATTCTACTATTAAAGGGACTCTGGCCTCTAGCCATTCCAATCTACCCCCGGCTCTGCAAGGATGAAGGCAAAACATCCTGCAGAACAAGGCATTGAAGAAAGAAATGGCCATCTTTCCATACCTTGTTCTGCAGGTTATTTCCACAGGTGTGAATTGGGTGGCCTTGTCCTCCTCAGACAGCAGCAGGTGGTCCTATACATTCAGTGTCTAAATGCTGCTATCCCTCCTTCTTTTATAGCACTGGAAGACTCATTCAAAATCAAACATACTTACTTGAGACTAGTATTTATTTATTGATTGTGTCAGAAGCGAATTGAGAACAATTGAGATAAACAGTTATAATGTATTTTAAAACACAAAGTTAAAAACATGGCGTTATACTAATATCATTTGACCAGAAGCTGACCACTTGGAGTGCCTCTGGTGTTGCTGTAAGAAGGTCCTCCATTGTGCATGCGGCACGGCTTAGACTGCATTGTAGCAGGTGGTCTGTTGTGGGCACTCGCATGTTGTGGGCTCCACTTTGTAGCCATTTCTCAAGATTGGCTCTGCATCTCGTGGTGCCAGAGTGCCTTCCAAGTCACCCAGTCTTCTGTGTGCCCAGGAGGGAGTTTCTTAACCAGTATCAGCCATTGATTGAGGTTCCAGGTTTTAACCTGTCACTTTTGAACTCACTTGCTGAGGTGTTCCTGCACGTATCTCTGTAGATCTTAGGAAGCTATTTCTTGATATAAGGCATTGGCTTGCTGGCTCATATCCGAACAGAGGATGGGCTGGAGATGTCCTTTCATTATGCTACTTCCCCATAGATGTCAGGTGGTGCAATACCGGCTAACCGGTATTGTTTACTAGTCTAGTAAATCACATTGAACACAGATTGATTTCTTTACTTCAGAAGAAGCATATGTGATGTTGTTCTGTAAATATCCTTTACCTTCTAAAATTGAATAAACTGGTTTGATGGAGCTCATATGTGTGTTTTATGTAACTGCTCTTAGTACTCCAAATCCAAATATTTTTGGGAACTGCCAAGATACCTTAGGAATTATATCTATTAGCTACCTTATTTTGTTGTGAGAATAAATAACTGATATAGTCATTTAGTCTGAAAACCCTTGTGTGCCTACCAGGGAGTAAATCACATTGGCTTCAATGGGGCTTATGGCTATGTGGGGTAACATAGTCTTGAAATTGCGTTGTTGCTCTCACGGTTCCAGGATATGGAGAACTTGATTCTACACCATGAGTAACATGATATATTGTGCTATCATATTGCTGAGGCCGAAGTCCTTGGGTTGCTTATCAAGGAATAAGCTGGATTAAACTTGATGGAGCTTATTTCTGAGCAGTCTGCCAATTGAAATCTCAGCCTTTTAAAGACATAATGTGGTATATTTCATACAAATGATTTTTCAGAAATGTTATTTATTCTGTCAGCACTACTGTTTTTATCCATTGTAAAGCTGCTCTTATCTTTTGAAGATGGGTGGAGTAGAAATGTAATGAAAAAAAATATCTGCAGATGTCTTCCTGTGAGTCTCCTGTAGATAGATTGCTGATATTCATATCTGTAATTTGCTAGCAACCCCTTCATGCTCCTATGAGGACCCAAATTGACAAGGATTGATCTGAATCATTATGTCTGCTGAGAAGCAGAAGAGCCCAATCATGCAAACTTATGCACAAGGGTATTTTTGGGCATGTGAAAATCTTCCAAATTAGCAGATGAAAATCGTTGGCTTGTTTAAGAGCATTCATGTCACGGGAATTAGAAAGCAAAAGATTCGGGGCAAATTATTCTATAATGTATATAGAGCAGTGATTATGCAAAGTGCTCTGAAAACTTTATCTTCTTCCTAGGTAGTTAAGGTTGTCGCTTCAATCTTCCCCCAATCCCCCCCCCCTTACACACACACACACACACATACATACACATACATATATTTCTAAGAAAGTTTGTGACAAGCAGAAATTCAAGTAGTAAAGCTTTTTCCAGCATGAAGATAAGCACATAGCTACCAGCCCCATCCTTGTTCTATATGGTGAGGATAGATGAACATGGGGCAAAACAGAAGCAAGTACTGCTACAAGACCCCCACTGTTGGCAGGGCTCCTGATACATATTGTGAGTCTTAACAATTGCCCAATGATGCCAACCCCTAATATTGGCTCTGGCCAATAGACCCTGCCAACACAGAGTAAGGACATAAATACTGTATGTATGTGTGTGTGAACTTTAAAAAACAAACGAAGAAACAACACATTTATTACTTAGCCGATTGTGCAGACAAAAAGCATATAGAGTCCAAATTTATAAACTGCAGTATGAGTAATAATCTATAAAGCATAAATCAATAATCAAAGGAAAACAGATGGGCAAAGGTCTTGGCATGTCTTATACCAGTAGAGGCCTGATGTGTTTTTACTAGTGGTCCTTATCAGTGGTCAACAAAGTTCTTCTCTTTTTCAGTCCTTTTCTCATTCCACTGTGGGAAACAATTCTTTTAATGGAGGTCGTCCTTTATTTTGCTATCTCCAGTAGCTAGTAACAGTAGTAGGAAGGTGGACATACTCATCTCATCCAAGTCCTTTCCCTCAAATCTGGAGTTTATACTGTCATTAAAATCTCCATTCAGTATTTTTTGTACTTCTAGACACTTTTGAATGTTTATGACAAGGAATTGTTGAAAAATTAGAATGCAAGACAAACAGGTCTTCTAATGGTGGTGTTGTCGTTGGGGTGGCATATTCAGATATGAAGCTTTCACAGTAACCAAGAACTGCTGACCCATGAAGCAAGGACCATGCACCTAAGAACCAGACCACGGACATGTTGTGTGTGCTCACAAAAAGCTTACTGCAATCAATGTATACAAAACTTTCAGAAAACCTTTAAGTTTATTTATTTTCCCTTCACAGAGAGTGTGGATTATGGGCCAGTGTTTATTCAGGAGCCTGACAGTGTAATTTTCCCAGTGGATTCAGATGAAAAGAAAATATCCCTTGGTTGTCAAGCACGGGCAAATCCTGCTCCAACCTACAAGTACGTGATATTCTCATAAAGATGAATTAAACTGGGATCACCATCTCCTGCTGTCAATCCTAATTCAAACCAAATTAAGTATATGAATGTGGAAGCTATATTGTACATGCTGTTTCCAAAATACTACATTCTTGCATGCACAAAGCTTGTCCAAGCAGATGTATATACTGAAAATTCTGCCCAGAATATCATTAAGGCAAGGAAGTTGGCAGAACAGCTACATGGTGGTGTTTTGTATTGTAGATAGTTGAAATTGTTATTTAATTGTTTTTAATTTTTATATTTATATATATAATTATTATGTATTTGCCTTGTTTTTAAGTTCTACTGTATTCTGTCATGTCATAATAAGCCAGCTTGAATCCATATGGGGAGAAAGGTGAGATAAAAATGAAGTTAATGATAATAATGATAATGATAATTTATTATGCATATAGATTTCCCGCAGATTGAATTAATCTCAGTTCAGGTTTCTTCTGGAGGACTGCAATAATAGAATTATTTTAAAAAAATATGTGATCTTGGAAGTTTTTTAAAAATTATGTGATCTTGTCAATAGGTTTGTGTCACGTTGCCAGGGCTCTGCTGTTATATCCGGCAGAGGTGAATCAAACAAAATCCCAGTTTGATTTTAAACAGTTTAATTAAAACAGCACTTACTTGCTGGCTGTTTTAATAGACCAAAATATAAAACATAAAGATAGCACCTAGCCACAGAATAAACAAAAACTGATTGCAAAAGCTACACCGTAGTCAAAGGGTCCAGTCCAGTGGTCAAATGTTGAGACTTCAGTAAACACGTCCAGGGATCAAGAGTCTATACCATAGTCAAAAGCCAGTCCAAAGGTTCAAGGTTCCAAGATTACAGGAGACAGGTCAGGATACCAAAAATCCAACAGACCTGGGGGAAAAACCAGCAGCATCCACCACCAAAATATAACAATACTTTTCTCCCAAAGATCATTTCCAAGGCTCGCTCCTTATAACCACAAACACCCAGCTGCAACCTATCTCTTACATACTTCCACCCTTAATTGCTTTCACCCATGAACTCTTACTTACAGATTACTAAACCCTTTAGAACTAATACTTGCATTAACCCTTCCATCACCAAGCACCATCAACTGCAGAATTTATGACAGTTTGTGCATTTTGGCTGAAACTTGATCTGTTTCTGCTGGCTGAATTTTGGGAAACCCCTGGATCCATTTTTCCATGCCTCCCAAAAACAGGCTAGATCCAGCCCATTAGTGGCAATGGGGGGGGGGGGGGGGAGCTTCCCAGGCTTAAAAAGTTTAAATGCTAGAAGATTCAAGCCAAACCAAAAAATAAAGCTGAGAGCAAGCTGCAAGGCAATGGGACTGAAGCATCTCTCTAGAGCCAGGACACAATTGAAAGCAATGGACGCACTTACCTCATTAAATAGATACAGCTTGCTTAAGTCACATCATGGCATTCTTCTATCCTGATTGGCGCTCACAACGAAACCCAGTACGAGCATGTGGCAGCCTCTTCGCGCACCACGTGATGCCAAACAGGAGAGGAGGAATCATGACCAGCTGTCACATGGCTTGTTTCACTCAAAAAAACCCATGACAGCCGAGCCCTTACTGTTATGGCCCGCCAAACAAGCCGGATTGGTCGAAAGGAACCAACCAAACTGAATCCGTGCATAAGCCTAGTTGTCAATAATAAAATGTTTCATAAGAAGGCTCATAATAATGGTAGTAGGTATCACTGGATCAAGGAAGATGGGAGGGAAGCAGGGAAATGCAAAAAAAATTTACAGAATATTGATGTTAAAAGAAAATTTATAAGATCAAGTCTTTCTTTTCCCTCCCATTGCAGGTGAATGGGCAGTATCTCTTCCTCAACAGACAAGTAGTGTAGTGTTGTTTCAGAAACACTTTAGAAATGATTTTTTTCCCATGCCCTAATTTTGTAATGAATATTGAAACATTTTGTTCATTGATTGTACAGGTCACTACCAATGCTAATTTTTCAAGCAATATTTAGCATTTCATGCTGTTTTTAGTCATTACTTTGGGCAAGGTAATTAGGGATGGTTGGCCACTTTTAATAATTGATTTTTTTAATTTAATGATGTAACTGTAAACGGTTCTTATTAACAATAATGTAACAAACACTTTTATACATAGTTCTTAGCATTTTAAATTGAGCAAGTGAATTGCTTTTCATAATTTTATGTAAATGTGTTAGTACTAATGCTGAAATTTCCAAGCCAGAAATCTAGTGTACCATAATGTTCTATGCATTCAACAATATCTATCAGTCAATCATCACCATAGGAAGTATCTGAGTATTATCCCATGTGACATTAGATAAAGGTCATAATGAATAAACCAAAGAGCAATGGTTCCCAACCTTTTTTCATCCAGGTGTTTTGAACTTCAACTCCCAGAAATCCCAGCCAATTTACCGGCTCTTGGGGATTTGGGGAGTTTGAAGTCCAAAACACCTGGAGGACTAAAGATTGGGAACCACCGCCTTACAAGGAGTCAGTCTCTTCAGATGTTAAGCTCAGGTACACTCTTGTATTGGTAATTATATCAGAGTCAGATGAGGTTGTGCAGGTGCTGAAGTGGGTGATGGCAACAGTAGCTGCATGTTGTAGTCATTTGAGCAATCAACTACAATTCTAGAGCTCAAGGTCATGGAAATATGTTTAATAATCTCCAAAGAAGGAGACTCCACTGCATTCCAGGGCAGCATATTACATTACTATTGAACAGTTTTTACTGTCAATAAATGTTTCTTAACATTTAGATTGAATGTCTTTTCATGTCTTTGGAATCTACTGCTCCATGTTCTAGTCTCCGCAACAGCAGAAAACAAACTGGCTGTCACCTCAATATGACATTTTTTTTCCCTCTTCTCTTCTCCAAGCTAAACATGTCCAACTCCCGAAACCTCTCTTCATATGGCTTGACATCCATGTCTTTTATCATTTTACCATTTGGTTACATTAGCATAGTTTTCTAACAAGTGTTGGTTTTCCATATCATGTCTCTATATTTCACACAAAAACATGACATTCTTATTATTATATCAGTGCTTTGTTTTCATATTTGTCAGCTTCTTAAAAAAGACAATAATTATTCCACCTTCTTTGTTTTCCTCCTAAGATGGCTCCGAAATGGAACCGAGATAGACATCGAAAGTGATTACCGCTACAGTGTGATAGAAGGGAGCATTATCATCAATAATCCCAGTGAAACAAAAGATACTGGACAATATCAATGCATTACTACTAACATGTTTGGCAGCATTTTGAGCAGAGAAGCTACACTTCAATTTGCATGTAAGTAACAATGTACAACAAGTGATTCTGTTAGAAATGATTAACTGCTATTCATTCTGCCATTTTATTGTCTGGATCTGGCTAATAAACTTTTTCCACCTTATTCTGAATAATGACAAAGAATTATGGGAATCTGTGTGAATGATGAAGGACTAGACTATTTGGTCTGTCTTGGTTGTTAGCCATCTGTTGCTTTTGCTAAGTTATGATGTTATATGGGATATCATTTTTCTTCATCTCAACAGAAGCTGAAAACAGCATCCATAGCTCACAAAGGTAGCTAGGAACAGGCTTCTAGTTACAGTCAGCTAAGACATGTAGTGACATTTAGTTATGATACTTATTCCTTGTCTTCAACAAGGAGCCATATTTTTACTGCTCATATTCATCTTTATGCTACATATCCATCTTTAGACCCATATACATAGAGTCTTTCTTTCTTCTATGGTTTGTACCACCTGATTCTATGTTTGCTTGTATTTTAGAGGATGAGATCCATCTCTTTGCTTATAATTTTCAAACATCAGCACAATCCTGCATATTTTAATATGCTCGAATACTTTTTCCCATTGTCTGAAACAGTTTTTTTTTCATGCATTTGACATATGTGCACATTTCTATGTGTGTTCATATGTCCACAACTGTCTGTCAACATGAGTATTCCAAAGAGCAAAATGCATCATACCTGAGAGAGTTGAGGAAATGTAGGCCAAAACAATTCAACTTAACTTTGGACCATAATGGGATTCCTCACATATCTTTACCACTACATTTGCTAATGCTCCTGGCCGTGAAGAAATTCTTCTTATAATATAGAACCATAAAACAAACATCATTTTGTATTGACTTCAAGAAGGATATTGACAAACTGGAACATGTCCAGAGAAGGGCAACCAAACTTACCAAAGGTTCAAAAGTCAAGCCCTGTGAGGAGCAGCTTAGGGAGCTGGGTGTGTTTAGCTCGGATAAAAGACTGTCAAGCGGGGACATTGTTCAAATATTTGAAAAGACGTCACATTGAGGAGGGGGCAAGATTGTTTTCTGTTGCTCTGGAGACTAGGACAAGGAGCAAATCATTGAAATTGCAAGGAAAGAAGAACTTCTGGATGGTAAGAGCTGTTCATCCATGAAATAGGCTGCTGTGGAGTGTGATGGAATCTCCTCCTCCCAAGGTTTTGTAACCAGAGTCTATATTGCCGTCTGTATGGAGTTCTTTGATTATTTTCCTGCATGGCAGGAGGTGGACTGGATGGTCCATGGGGTCTCTTTCAGTTTCATGATTCTGTGAACTGAACAATGAATCTATGGATCTTATCAGACAGTGGGAGTGGGGGGATTGTTTTGTAAAGTATAGAGAGGAATTGTGAACCTTTCAGTCCTCCATTGCTCCATTTCGTGACTTTTCCCCTCATCAGACATATCAAACTTTGGAGTGCTTCTCTGTAGGCACCCTATATCTTTCTTATCATACAGAGCCAAGACATCTCTGCCCCCTGCATGTTCTTTTTTGTGTTTTTTTAGAAAGTATTTCTACTGAAGAGCCATAGCTCAAAATTTCTATAATATCCAAAGAAGGTTCCTTACATAGGACTGCGTATGTATCATAACAGGAAATAATAACAAAAAGTTCTTTAATATTTCTTACCATTTGGAGTTCTTACACGGACATCACAAAATACAAACATGACTCCATTGCTATCAAATTACATTTTGAAATACAATAATAGAATAGGAATGCAATAAGAAAGCCAAGGAATTTTTTGGGAAACAATTAAAAAAACTTAAGAGTAAACAATAATAAATTTAAACAAACCAGAAAAACATAATTTCTTGTTCTCTTCATTTTCCAATGCCTCTATTCTGCAATTAAAGATGGGCTCAAAGCCAACCTTAAAAACTCTGGCATAGACACTGAGAACTGGGAAGCCCTGGCCCTTGAGTGCTCCAGCTGGAGGTCAGCTGTGATCAGCAGTGCTGCAGAATTTGAAGAGGCATGAATGGAGGGTGAAAGAGAGAAATGTGCCAAGAGGAAGGCGCATCAAGCCAACCCCAACCGGGACCGCCTTTCACCTGGAAACCAATGCCCTATCTGTGGGTGAAGATGCAGGTCAAGAATAAGGCTCCACAGTCACCTACAGATCCACAAGAATACTGATCCTGGAAGACTATCCTACTCGTCCAACGAGGGATCGCCTAAGTCAGTGGTTCTTAACCTATGGGTCCCCAGATTTTTGGCCTTCTATTCCCAAAAATCCTAACAGCTGGTAAACTGGCTGGGATTTCTGGGAGTTGAAGGCCAAAACACCTGGGGACCCACGGGTTGAGAACTACTGGCCTAAGTAATTCTGCAAGAGCTGTCATTTCTATTTTTTAAAAGAAATTTGTGATGGATAAACAGCAATGACCGGAAGTACGCCTGTGTCATTTAATGGCAGCCACGACTCCCCATTATTTTGCGGTGGCTGACAGTGAAATGGGGGTGGGGGGGGGAGATTGTCTGTCTGATGAGGTTGTAGAACACAGAGATTAGTTTAAAGATTGATCTTTACATGAAAGTTTTGACTATGAATGTCATCAGGTAGTTTAAAAAACTACCAAACTAGGAGCCAGATTGAGCTATTGAATTATATAGTTGAAAGAGACCACAAGGACCATTCAATTCAGAAATGCATAATGATACCTGAGAGATGGTCATTCAGCCTCTGTTTAAAATCCTCCAGAGAAGTGCACTCCATCATAGTCTTAGGCAGTGCATTCCATTGTCAAACAGCTATTAGCGTAAAGGCTTTATAGCTTTGGTGCTGACAGAGAGATTATTGTCTTGCATATGCAAAGACTCTGGTGGAAGGATCTTTCTTGATTGTTTAGAAGAACAGGCAACTTCAATGTTAATATATCACCTCTGAATCAAAAATACATCACAATAGTCCCAATGTAGTTTTCCCAATAACTGGGGATGTGCTGTATTAAATTATTCATTCCTGTAAGAGAGAACAAATGATATCAGCAATTTCCTCCTTGCTGTTAGGTGTCTTAAAAACCTATTTGGGTTTTGAATGGCTTCAAAACTATGCCGTTTTGAAGAGGTCTCCGACAAGGGAATTTGTCTCAAGAAGGAGGGAAGAGGTGTACAGTTTCAAAGTGAGGGTGAGAATCAGATGAGAATTTGGAGTGTGATCTTCTCCTAGCTTTCCCCTCAGCCATCCCATGTGACATCAGGCAAGGGAGAAGCCAAACAAGGACTATAGATTTCCAGGATCCTCACTTGAACTCTCCCCTCTCTAGGTGCCTAGAGAATTTTAGGTCCTAAAATCCTGCTGGTTTTAGAACCTAAAAACCTCTAGCCATCTATTAAAAGATTAGACTTTCATACATCTGTATCAAACGAATAGCAAGTTTGAAGCGGGGGAAGTGTCCGGGGAACTCACCAGCAGTATTTGCAACAACCCAGACATTGTTATCCTGCAATGGCTACTGGGAAAGAGGGTCATCTCAAGGAACCTGGAACTCCCTCTGAATTTATATTTATACAATAGGTGTATTGGCACACACAGGACCAGAAGTGAAACCATTTCCTGAGGCAGATTGGAGCAGTCTACCAGACCTTCTGCCAATTACTTCTGAGTGGGAAAGTGAAAGGGTCTTTTAAGGCCAGAGGCTGCCCATTTCTGTTGCAAGGGGACCCTATGTCAATAAGCCATGCTTGGTTTGTCCTAGGTGAAGTATTGGTGACTCAGTCTTGAGTCAAAGCTTAGGTGAAGGTGCTTGTGGATGGCAAATGAGGGTTCAGATTTATCTGCCTCCAGGTTGTATGTGAATCTTCTTCCCACTGCTACTGCTAGAAGCCCTGAGCCCTCTTCCAAAAGCAGACTGTGTATTTCTTACAGGTTCCTGCCAAATTAATTCTGCACAGTTCAATTTCTAATTTTTTCTATCCTTGACGGAGAGCTTCAGAACTCTTTTCAGTTTGGAAAGGAAGTGATAGTTTCCCCATATTAATAAATACTGGGTGTGCAAGGAGATTTGGGGGTCCAGACATGGTTTAGAAGGGATAAAACCTTCTAAAAAAGGCAGAGGGTATATATAAGGCTTTGGTAGAAACTACCTAGGAATCATCTCCTCCTCTGAATGGCAAAATAAAAATGTTTAACATTTATCCATCCTGGGAAAAGCTAAAGAAAGCATTAATGCTTTCTACTCACCAAAGAGCTTCCGCTGCCACCATATTCCTGCCAGGGCATTTCAAAGGCCAGAGTTGGCACCATGAGGAGTAAAGAGGGTTGCTATTTTCTTTAAGTTTCCAAATATCCACAGATCATATCAAAATATAAATTTTTGACTCCAAAATCTCCCTATAACGTATATATATATGTGCTGCTAGTATTTTATCCCTATTCAAGCATTTGCCATTTTCCTTGAAACAGAAGGTATGTGGCACAACTTCCATCACAGTTCTAACATTCTCTGCGATAAAAATTATTCTCCTTCGATACAGTAATGATGTACAACGATTCCCTGTATAAAATTGTCACTGTGCCATTTGAGCTTATTGCCATGCTGATAAGGTATTTGAACTGAAACATGACATCTTCAGCTTCCCTCATATCCTGCTGATTTTAGAACCTAAAAACCTCTAGCTATCTATCAAAAGATTAGACTCTCATCCATCTATATCAAATGAATAGCAAGTTTAACGGGGAAGGGTGTCTCAAGTTTCTCCATGCCATTGCCAATTTCATAGTCTTTGCATATTGATATTATGTGTGTCTAAGTGCAGAGCAGGCTGCTTTCCACACCATTTAATATTTAAACTGTGATATATATCCATATTACCCAACAGAGTAAATACTCACACAATTAATTCCAGATATCTTGATATGGGGGCAGACAAGATTCCTTTCTTTAACTCCACCAAGGGAGTCATTAATCTGTTCTAAATTTTAGTCTGAGCTTCAAAGGAGTTAGAAAAGCATATCAAACCTATTTGGGAGACAGGGTTT